AGACTTTCTATGACTAAATCATTTTTGTATTCCTGGAATAAATCTTACTTGGTCATTGCAATTTTCATCAGATTGTGATATCTTTGTTACACTAATGTCATAAAAAGAACCTGGAAGTTTTCCTTCTTCTTCTATACTCTGAAAGTTCTCACAGAATTTGAAGTGTCAAATTTTTAAAGATTTACAAGAATTTTCTGTGAAACTAAGGCTGGTCCTTTTTCTTGTGTGTGGGACTAGTTTTCTGACAATTTCAGTTTCCTCTATGGAAATTGGTTTATCTATTTGTGTGTAAATCATTCTACTTATTAGTTCCTCTATTTTTTCTATTTTTAACTTATTGATTTCTAAGTTTGTATTTATTAATATTTTGTTCCTGTTTTCCCTTACCTTGTTTTCCTAACTGTAAATCAGAGGCTTAATTAATTTCTGTAAACCAGTATACATTTTTTTCATCCCTGCATATTCTTATGAGTACCACTTTAGATTATACCATAGATTCTGATACAGTGTTATGCAGAAAAATTATGCAATTTAAATTTGTATTACTCCTTTGACCCGAAGTTACTTAATAGTTTTAAACTTTACTGGTAGAAAGAAATTGTTTTCTCTGATTTCATTATTAATTTCTAGTTGTATTGCATTGTGATAGATCCTAATGTATAATTTCTACTCTTTGGACTCTATTGTGTTTTTGTTGCATAGTATGTAGTCAATTTGTATCAATCTTGGAAAGGTATATTCTCTTACCACAGTAGAGGGCAGATACAACCATAAGAACTATCTCACTGAGAATTTAAGTGCTCTATCTTTTTGGTTGTTTTCATGTGGTTTACTTGGACTGAAACACAAATTCTGTCTTCCTCTGTCAAGGGCCTTCCTTTTGATTCCTGTCCCCACGAGGTTCATTCCCTTACACTTTTCCCTTTGCAAACCGACCAAATGTTACTATTTCAACTATCAGCTATATGCTGATGACTCCCAAATCTCTACATCCTTACATCTGAGCTCCAATCCCCAATGTCCAAGTGCCCAGAGGATAACCTCATTTTATTTCCTGCCATGGACTGAATCTCATTTAAAATCAAATCCGTGTTCTTCCAAACTCTGCTCCTGGGTCCAAATCCTGCCTTGACTTATCAAAGCTCTTTACAGCTGTAACTTAGAAGCTCTTAGAGGGTAGAAATGGAGCATTATATATATTTTTAACCTCCTGAATATCAACTCCAAAACCCAACCCTGCCTGAGGGGAAAACAGCATTTATTAAATGTGGTGAATGACTCTGAGCTTAAATCATCAGCTTCAGAGTATGGATAAGGGAGAAGAAAGGAGAGGGTGAGGATTAGGTCTCAGGTCCTCAACGTGCAGGGCCAAAGTGTTCCTGGAGTTGGCAACATGCCCAACAGTCAGTCACCCAAAATAAATGCTAGCTTTGCCTAAGACTCAGGAAAAACTCAGTGTAATAAATCTGATCTGTTTATACAGTGTCCTAAAATAAAATATTACATATAATAATCTATGGGAAATTAACCAGGCCTATTATGTACCACCACCCCAACCATACAGGATAAGACAACTACAGAATTGAGTAATCATTATGTATTTCTGTCACCCTAGGCAACTCACAAAACCTCAGCCTCAGAACCAGTCTTGAAGGCAAGGTAAAAAGTATTAGGCACTCAGCAAAATGATTTTTGAGGGACCCTGGGTAGCAGTATATTTCTAGGGAAAAACTGAAGCATCTCTAAGCAGCTTACAGAGAAGCTGCTGCCAGATGAGTTCCTATGTAGCACCTGTTAGCCACTACTGGGAAATGAGTACAAATGAAGAAGGCTTCATTCACCAACCATATAGGAAATTCACTGATGAAACTAAGAGAAATGCAGCAAGGAGGCAGTACTGTACTGGGCCAAGACTGTGCTCTGGTGTTAGATTCCCTGAGTCCAAATCCCTGCTCTACTACCTACTGCTGTGTGACCTTTAGCAAATTTCTTAACTTTTCTCTGCTTCAGTTCCATCATCTATGAAATAGTAATGATTCCTATACACCACAGTACTATCATAAGAATTACATGAGATAATAAATGCATGCAAAGTAGTCAGAAGTGTCTAGCACATATTGGCACACAAGTGCTTAATAAGTGCCAGATGTTATTTCCATCAAAAGTGGGATATATTTTCTCTTTCACTAGTAGGCTTCACAGCTATTGAACATCAAGAAAAAAAAAAAGACTTAAAAAAATTAGTCATATGTCCAATAAATACACTGATGTAAAATATATCTGTGGGGAGAATACCACTGGGTGCAGAGATTCAGAAACAGTATACTCGCATTTTCTATCTGTTTATATATTTGATGTGAGTATATCAACCTCAAGTCTTGCTTACCAAGAGAAGTCCCCTCCTTACTGCCCCCAAGATACAGGGAAAATGGCCACTCACAGCTGGAGAAGGCTCTGCCACATGGAATAAATCAAAAATTAAATGTGCATAAACATGTACTTAGCTGGTGTGCACAATGTCTCAAAAAAGTCTGAGATGAAATAGAACATGCTTTTCCCATAGCCTTCAATCTGAACACACAAGGGACTTGATTTCTTACCCAGTAACATCATCTCCCCAATGCTGTTGTCTTGAATCTCTGAGGTGGGCTGCTGAACAGTATCCAAGCTTACACATTCTTCTTGGGAGTGAAATACATTCAAATCCTCAAAGACCACCAGCTCCTGAAAGAGCAACAGGCCCCCTTCCTCTTAGTAACAGAGGTTCCTTGACAGCCCTGCTGTTAAGAAAGACCAAGATCAGGGAAGGGATGGCAAAAGGGATCTAAAAGTCCCATGCAGACAGGAAAGCCTGGCTCAGAGAGGAGCCAGAGGGAAAAAAAAAAGATGACTGTCCAAGGAGGCAGTAAAGAAAGAGCCCCATCTCCCTGCTGACTCCCAAGAGTGGGTTTATATATACGGGAGGGCTGCAAGAGTAGAGAAGGTGATGCACTCAAACAGTGAACAGGAAAACTGAACCCACCTCAGACTCAGCTTTCAAACACAGAGACACTGTCTCCTGTTTCTGCTGGATTCCTTCTCTGGGTAGAAGCTTCACTAAGGGATGAGGTTGCACTGGGGAAAGAGGAAGCTGTAGTTAATAGAAAAGTCAGTGACTCTAATATGGAGACTCTACCCACACCTTGAAGCCAGGCTGTCCTCATTCCTTTGGTAGGTAACTCAACGCTTTTTCTGTTCCTATGAGCCCAGTCAGAGATCAATCCACAAACCACAGGGTCTTGAACCTATATGGAGTCTCTTCACTATGAAAAGGATATTCCCCTAAGCACCTTTTAAAATTCCCATTACTACTAAGGGGAAGGATGGGGAAAGGTAAAGTCTGAAGATGCCCACAGCAAGCACAAAAGTTAACAAAATTCCACATAAGCGGAAGTCAATTCAATAATTCATCCACATTCCTTTATCCTAAAAAGATACTCCCCCTCCCCCAATGTCTGGGTAAAACTGACACTACAGAAAAGATACACACTGTTTATTCTGTGGCTTTACACACACTTAGCAAACCATTCAAGCTCCAGCTTGAGAAAAAAAATACTCACTCTCCCTGGCACGTTGACTTATTGGAATCAACTCTTTTTTTCCAAAACCCACCAACCTAACTTGAATTCATTACTAACAAGGAAGTCTAGCTCAGCCCCCAGTACCATCCCCTTCTCTTCTAGTAAAACAGTATGTGCTTCTTACCTCTGTTCTGAAGATTTGAGCTCACATCCTTCACAATAACCAAGGTCTCCTTGACTTTCTGACTGGGCTGGACTAGGCTTGGCTTGGGCAAGAAGGTGAGGAAATGCTCCAGAACCAGCTGGTGAATGGTCTTGGGCCCACTAGTAGCATCTCGGAGTAGATCTTGGCCCAGCTTGGAGTTAGGAGGAACTCTCAGTATAAAGGACCTCTTTGGCTTTAGGGGTATAGGAACCACTTTTGCAGCCATCGTGCCTTGAAATCACACACACACTTGTTTCTGCAGAGCTTCAAGAGTCACCTCTTACTGGAGGAAACCTGTCAGTCACGCTGCAGATGAGAGAAACCATGAGTCAGGCTGGAGATGCCTGCACTCCAGTATGTGTCTTGCAAAGTGAGGCCACATGAGATCTAAATCAAAAAGGAAAGATAAACTACGGTAGGGAACTCACAACCGTAAGGAAGAACCCTGACCCGATACTCTTAGCAAGGCCTGAAAGGAACATCCTGAGAATGAAACCATAAGATGTTCAAACCTCAAGGGCCATCCTCATGAGAGAATGAAGTGCAAACTCCACTTGGAAGAAAGGTTTAACTCATGCTGGTAGAAGAAGCAATGGGCCAGAAGACAGGAAATCCGGGGTCCAATACCGAGGGCATCTGTTTACAAGTCAACTTGGCCACCGAATCTGGCCTCACTGCGTCCCTTGGACCGCAAGTCCCTCGGATGCCCTTCCGGGGGTTGCTGATGGTTCAAGGAGCAAACGCAAGGCTGCATGAGGTGTGTACGTGGCCTGCTGACCGACAGGGGACATCCCAGTAGGGCCCACCAGGCCAGGCCCGCTCTGCAGCCTCTCCCAGTGGCCAAGGGGCACCTTCACCGCAAAGCCCAGCTGGTGGCATTGCCTGGGGTGCGCTCCCGGCTACCTATCCGGCCAGGCTCCCCTAGCAACAGACTCTGTTCCGCTCCCCAGAGGCCGCCTCAGCCTGGTTCCCGCCCTCCCGGAGTCCCTCACCTCTTGGGGTTCTGCCGCCCCTGGGCGCTCACTGGGGACAGCCCAGAGACCCAGACTCGGGGAGAGACCGGGAAACTAGGCTCGAGAAGGCAAGCCCACCCCTCGCCCTTCGGAATGTCCTCACAGGCTGCCGGCGACTATTGGCGTGCGCCGCCGTCACTTGGGGAGGACGGCAGGGACGCGGTGCCTTCTGGGAGGCTGGGCGCCTAGGCAGCAGTGACGTCACGCCCGGTGCCCCGTTTCCGGTGCGGAAGCCTGGTCTCCTCGCTTGGAGCGAGAGGTCTGCGCTTGGGAAGGCGAGGCTCGAGGCCGGCCGGCGGAGCTCTCAGGGACGCAGGGAGGTCAGGTTGGCAGCAGCCACTCTCTCTGCGGCTGTACCTGGGAGATGGAAAGCAGAAGGCTGGCTCAAACCCTCCAAGACAGGTTGGCACCACTCCAGGTACGGACGGTTTAGCTGCAAGGGCTGCTGGGAAATGTAGTTCGGTGCTAAACAGCCAATGGGAGATCGCCAGGCGCCGCGGTTGGGGCGGAGCAGGGCCGGGGCTCGACCGGAAGCGGGCCGTCTGATGGACCGGAAGCTCTGTGAGAGGCAGACGCAGTTTCCGCCCCAGCCCCTTGGGTCTATCAAAAAATTGCGGTGGCGGCGAGGTGGTGGTAGCTTGTGGTTTTTGTCGGTTCTAGGGTCCTGTTACAGCCGTCCCTTTCGGCAGGGGCGGCCCTTCGGTCAGAGCCGGGCGAAGCTCCCCTCCCCTATTGGCCAACTTCTACACAGAGGTCTGGAACGGCCATCTTATTTTCTCAGGAATTCTAGCTGTCCATCTCCGTTACCGTCCTCAATTCGTCTTTTCTTTCTGCATTGTTCCCATACTCGGTTCATTTTCCAGTGAGGCAGTGATCAGGAATTGGGGCCACACAAGAGCAGGGATTGCCTTATTCTATGTAAACGCCAGCCTCAGGCAGGATGACTAAAGTGAAAATATGAGTTCTGTTTATTAACGGTAACTATAGGTGACTCACTCAGCTGTGATCTAAAACATGTTATAAAGAGAGTAGTGTCAAAACCGTGTGGCAGGGGCTTCCCTGGTGGCGCAGTGGTTAAGAGTCCACCTACTAATGCAGGGGACACGGATTTGAGCCCTGGTCCGGGAAGATCCCACATGCGGCGGAGCACCTAAGCCTGTGTGCCACAGCTACTGAGCCTGCGTTCTAGAGCCCCTGAGCCACAGCTACTGAAGTCCTCGTGCCTAGAGCCCGTGCTCCTCAACAAGAGAAGACAGCGCAATGAGAAGCCCACACACCGCAATGAAGCATAGCCCCTGCTCAGCACAGCTAGAGAAAGCTCTCACGAAGCAACGAAGACCCAACACAGCAATCAATCAATCAATAAAATAAAAAAGAAAGAAAGAAAAAACTGTGTGGCAACAAAACTTAAAAAACAAAACGAATACCTGTCTTTCCAGACATCAAAATTATGGGGGAAAAAAACCTTCTTTAATCAAAGCAGTGTAGTTTGAACTACACGTGAATAAATAGAACAGTATAGCCAAAATTGATCTGAATATATGTCGACCTGTATGCAAGGATAGCATTTAACTTGGTGCTAGCAGAAATGATTCTTCTGGGAAAAAAGGCTCTTGTCTTTACACTACATACAAAAAGATGGAATTTAATAGCCAATGAAAGAACGCTTAAGAGAAGGTTAAGTTTAATATTGAGGCAAAATAGGAAACTGAGGTGCCTTAAAGTAAAATATAAGCTTGTGTGACTGTATTTAAAAAAAAAAAACTTTAGAAAACAATATTAATAAAATCAAGCAGTAGGCTGGGACATAATTGTAGAAGATAAACCAGATGAAGACTAAGGCATTCCCAGCATACAAAGAGCTCCTGCTAACTGACCAAAGACTAAGGCAAAAGCTATGAAGTCATTCCAAAGAGGAGGAAAACTAAATGATCATTAACATTTGAAAAGATGCTTAATGGGAATTCCCTGGTGTTTCAGTCGTTAGGAGTCTGTGCTTCCACTGCAGTGGGCATGGGTTCCACCCCTGGTTGGGGAACTAAGATCCTGCATGCCCCTTCATGCAGTGTGGCAGAAAGAAAAAGGGAGGAAGGGAAGGAAGGAAAGAAAAGAAAGAATGAAAAGATGCTTAGCCACTTTGGAAACAGTTTGGCAGTCTTTCAAAATGTTAACATAGAATTACTTACTATAGGATCCAGCAATTCCATTCCTAGGTATAAACCCAAGAGAAGTGAAAACTTGTACCTGAAGAGCAGCATTATTCATAATGGCTGAAAAGTAGAAACAACCTGTCTATTGAACAGATTAACAAGATATAGTATATCCATATAATGGGTTATTAGCAGTAAAAAAGGAACAAAGCAGTGATACATGCTGCAACATGGATGAACTTTGAAACATTGTGCTAAGCCAGAGAACACGGTGACACAAGGCTTTGTGTAATTCTTATGTGAAATGTCCAGAATAGGCAAATCCATAGAGATAAAAAGGTTAGTGGTAGCCAGGGGCCGGGGGCAGAGAGGAATAGCAAGTGAATGCTAAGCAGTGCAGGGTTTGTTTTGGGGGTGATAAAAATGTTCTGGAATTAGTGGTGATGTTTGTACACATTGTGGATATACTAAAAACCACTTAGTTGTGTATTTAAAAGGGTGAATTTTATGCTATGAGAATTATATCTCAATTAAAAAAGACCGCCAGACAGGGAAAATTACATCCTACAAATACAAATGTTTAGTATGTAAAATATTTATGAAGAAGTACTACAGACAGCTAAGTTCAAAATCTAGAGTCCACATGGCAAGTAGTTAAAGGACTTGTACCATTTTTATAGACTTGATGGAAGCAATTTTCACATGTTGAAGTATAGGGAAGTCATTCTGGCTTATATGTGATTTGGCTTGACCTTTATACTAACTAGAACAGGCCTGTCTTATGGCCTGTCAAACATACATTATACATCTGCTTTAACCTTTTTTTTTTTTTTGCGGTACGCGGGCCTCTCACTGTTGTGGCCTCTCCCGTTGCGGAGCACAGGCTCCAGACGCGCAGGCTCAGCGGCCATGGCTCACGGGCCCAGCCGCTCTGCGGCATGTGGGATCTTCCCGGACCGGGGCACGAACCCGTATCCCCTGCATCGGCAGGCGGACTCTCAACCGCTGAGCCACCAGGGAAGCCCTGCTTTAACCATTTGAAAAAAGAAAAAGGAATACAGTTACCAGATTGTTTAGAATTCCACTTTGAAGATAGGGATAAGTGCCCCCCCTTCCCCGCCCCCACGATGCCAGTGCTGGTACTCCTTTGAAGATGAAGTTCTCTTCCCAGACACCAAGGTCATGCTAACTAGCTGTGTGCATGCTAATCTGTCCCTTTTGAAACCTTGAAGGAATGTACCTCTGTCATGTTTGATGTTTCTTCTTTGTTCTGACAAGATATAAAACTGTGGTTCAGGTATCCAAAATACAGCCAGATGGGACTTGTCTGGTGGTCCAGTGGGTAAGACTCCATCCTCCTAGTGCAAGGGGCCTGGGTTTGATCCCTGTTTGGGGAACTAAATCCTGCATGCATGCTGCAACTGAGAAGCGTGCATGCTGCAAGTAAAGATCCAGCGCAGCCAAAATAAATTAAAAAATAAATATTAAAAGAAAAATAGAGCCGGGTGGTGATTGAGATGTAGTTTCAGACATGTGCCTGCATCATTGAGACCCTGAATTTTCTGAACTGTATCAAACTCAAGGATACCACAAGCCATTTTCAAAACAGTATCTGCTAATAGCTGCCAGCTGCAACCTAATGGTCCAACGTTTCCCCTTGTAACTTTGCAACTATTTTGGACCCCAACCAGTCCATACTTAAAAAGCACTCTTACTTCTTGCCAGCTTCAATTGTAGTTCCTTTTTTTAATTTTTTTAATTTTTGGCTGCATTGGGTCTTTTGCTGCACGCGGGCTTTCTCTAGTTTTGGCGAGCGGGGCTACTCTTCGTTGCAGTGCGCGGGCTTCTCATTGCGGTGGCTTCTCTTGTAGAGCATGGGCTCTAGGCACGCGGGCTTCAGTAGTTGTGGTACACGGGCTGTAGAGCACAGGCTCAGTAGTTGTGGTGCACGGGCTTAGTTGCTCCACGGCATGTGGGATCTTCCCGGAGCAGGGCTCAAACCTGTGTCCCCTGCATTGGCAGGCAGATTCTTAACCACTGCGCCACCAGGGAAGTCCTCAATTGTAGTTCTTGACAAACAACATATGTAGCTTTGCAGTTTTTGCCTATACGAGCCTCCCCTATTTTGTAGTCTGATGGAACACAATTAAGGTGCTTCTTAAATCTGTATCTTCCAGGCTGTAGTCCTCAGTTTGGCTTGAATAAAACTCTTTTCTATTACTATTATAATTGTTTATCAAATATGTGTGTTTGGGCTTCCCTGGTGGCGCAGTGGTTGAGAGTCCGCCTGCCGACACAGGGGACGCGGGTTCGTGCCCCGGTCTGGGAAGATCCCACATGCTGCGGAGCGGCTGGGCCCGTGAGCCACAGCTGCTAAGCCTGCGCGTCCGGAGCCTGTGCTCCGCAACAGGAGAGGCCACGGCAATGAGAGGCCCGTGTACCACAAAGAAAAAAAAAAATGTGTGTTGACAGAATGAAGCAAAAAAGTAGAAATACACATGGAAAAATTCATAGCCTCATTAGCAGGTAATGAAATAAATTAAAACAGGTAAGACCTCATTACATCTCTATTATATCAGCAAAAATTTTAAACGACAAACATTGCTTTGGGCGTGAAACATTCTTTCCAAAATATTGTATGGCCAACTACTGCAAGTGTTATCAAATAGCTTACATTCTGGAACAATTTTAGGAATAACAGGAGAAAATATATGTGTATGGGGAGGAGGTGGCAAAAAATGTACGCCAAAAAAAAATATATATATATATATATATACACCAAGCTGTTTATGGAACAATAGCAAGGGAGAATTGGCAACAACAAATCGCCAACCATAGGGAACGGCTAAACAAATAGGGAACATGAGCTGTGCCAGCACGTGGATTATGCATGTAGAACAAAGCTCCATGAAGAAAGCGAAGCGTGTGTTTTGTGCTCTGGTCACAACTATGGAGAACCTAAGTCCAATCTAGGCTTAGTGTGAATATGGGAAGAGAAGTTGGGGTAGGAGGAGTTTGGGGTTCAATCTTCATTTGATCCTCCTTTTTTCTTTCCTTTTTTTTTTGGCCATGCCATGTGGCATGCTGGATCTTAGTTCCCCAACCAGGGATCAAACTCATGCCCCCTGCAGTGGAAGCATGGAGCCCTAGCCACTGGACAGCCAGGGAATTCCCAATTCTCCTTTTCTCTTACATCCCTCTCTATGTCTCTTTATTTTGTGTGTGTGTGTGTGTGATAAGTTTTTTAAATTGAAGTATAGTTGATTTACACTGTTGTGCTAATTTCTGCTGTACAGCAATGTGACTCAGTTATACACATATATATTCTTTTTTTAAATGTTCTTTTCCATTATGGTTTATCCCAGGAGATTGGATATAGTTCCCTGTGCTATACAGTAGGACCTTGTTGTTTATCCATTCTAAATGTAATAGTTTGCATCTACTAACCCCAAACTTCTAGTCCATCCCTCTCCCTCCCCCCTCTCTTTATGTCTCTTTAAATGGAGGATGATAGAGGGACATCTGTGAACTAGAACACCTAATATTCCACAGGCCCACAGATTTGCAGATACAGCTCAGTACAGAATAATGTGACACTTGGGATGTGTGTCAAATGTTTTTCCGTGACAGCAGCCCCATCTTTTTCTTGGTCTCCTGTAGGGAAGTGGGATCTCACAGTAATCAACTGAGTGACAACAAATGCAGTTACAACTGCATTTTCCAATGGACTTATTTATGGGGCCCAGCCAATAATTCTAAGAACCACAGTTCATTAATACAGGTACAAAAGTGTATTATAACAATCCAGTTTGCTTGTTTTTTCCTAAGGCTTCCTAAGTCCTCAAGACAGGGAGGATATCCCATAAATCAACTTGATTTAAACTTCCTCTCTGTCTCCCTTTGCTTCATCTCTCATTCTTTCTCTAATCTTCCTCTCCCCACTGTCTTATCTCCTTTGGACTATTCATAGAACAGATATTTAGTCTGGCCATAAAATTATGTGTTAAGGATATTTTTCCAAGTGATTTGTCTTAGCCATTTAGTATAATATCCCTGAAGTTCTAACAAGGCAGCTCCTCAAAGACTAGCTCACTAGCTAGGTAGTAGCTCTATCAATAGAAACTTCATAGGTGAATTGTATAAAATCCTCAAAACCCTAAAGTGTCTTGTTTCTGTTCCTTTGGGAGGTGAGGATAATCAGAGCAGTTTTTGGAGATGCAGGCAGGTTGACTCTGATTATAGCCTGCCAACAGGAAAATGTTGAAAGACCGGAATTGGATTAACCCAGTGCACTAACCCCCAGTTCCAGAAAAACAGGAGAAACCTGGAGAAAAACTAGGAGCATATAGGAACTTCCCTGGTGGCGCAGTGGTTAAGAATCTGCCTACCAATGCAGGGGACACGGGTTCCAGCCCTGGTCCGGGAAGACTCCACATACCATGAAGCAACTAAGCCCGTGCGCCACAACTACTGAGCATGCACTCTAGAGCCCACGAGCCAGAACTACGAGCCTGCATGCCACAACTACTGAAGCCCGTGTGCCTAGAGCCCATGCTCCGCAGCAAGAGAAGCCACCGCAATAAGAAGCCTGTGCACCACAACAAACAGTAGCCCCCACTTGCCACAACTAGAGAAAGCCTGTGTGCAGCAACGAAGACCCAATGCAGCCATAAATAAATAAGTGTATTTAAAAAAAAGTTAAAAAAAAAAAACTAGGAGCATATAGTGGTGTCATCCTTCTTCCCTCTAAGCAAACAGAATATTACTGGGCAGTATCCATAATGTGAGTGCACAGAAGGTCACTTTTAAATGCACACACCGGACAGTGTAACATCAAACAGATGAACATTCTACGAAAATTCACAATTCTTCCATCAATTTAATATTCCAGGAAGACAGAATGGATAACTTCTATCGCCTGGGCATTTAACAGTAATGCAATATATGATCAAAACAAATTCTAGTGCTTTAGAGTTCCAGCCTTTGCTGAAATGATTAGTCCTTTAGATCTATAGAAAAAATATACTACAGAAAATACCATCTTATATACCAGACTCTTTGTAACAAAAGGCTTTGTTAGTACCCGCAGGCTTAATCATTGACTCTGTTAAAAATGATTTCTTTTTTAAAGTGTTTTCTTTTTAATTAATTTATTTTTGTCTGTGTAGGGTCTTCGTTGCTGCGTGCGGGCTTTTCTCTAGTTGTGGTGAGTAGGGGCTCCTCTTCTTTGCGGTGCACGGGCTTCTCATTGCGGTGGCTTCTCTTGTTGCGGAGCACGGGCTCTAGGCGCATGGGCTTCAGTAGTTGTGGCTTGCGGGCTCTAGAGCACAGTCTCAGTAGTTGTGGCACACAGGCTTAGTTGCTCCACGGCATGTGGGATCTTCCCGGACCAGGGCTTTAACCTGTGTCCCCTGCATTGGCAGGCGGGTTTTCAACCACTGCGCCACCAGGGAAGCCCTAAAAATTTCTGCTTCTAAGTGATTTTTCATCTTGAGACTTCAAAAGACATTTTTAACAATAAATGAAATAGAAATGCTCAACTAAAGGAAGTCATATTTGTAGCACTTAACTAATGGTCTCATACTGCTTCCTCTTTTCTGAGTATAATTGGTAATTTTCTTACTTAGCCAGACTCAACTGTCTTATAGCTTTCTGATTTCCACTGCAACCTTGGAGAATACAACCAAAACTATAGATCTTATTAATAGTAGTTTAGACACCCACTAGAGAAAACAATACAAGCAAAGTCGTCTTAATCTCACCCTATAAAAGCCCTCCTACCCCTGGCAGAGTCTCAAAATGGTTCATCCCGTCTCCTCGGTGGATGCTAAAATCTTTCACTGTTGCCCTGTAGGCCGACATTCTCTTCCTGCATCCCTGTACCCTAAACTCTGATGCTCTGTGGTGGCTCCAGCATGATATGGACTGACATTGGCATGGTTTTGGTCTATGTAATGACTTACTGAAGGCGTTCATGTGATTTTTTTCAAGGTCTTTTTCTGTCCATAAACGATTTTGTTTCCCTTACCACCTACTTTAATCTAGCTGAGAAGTCTTGATAGTTTAATGGGTTTTGTTACATATTCACAGAATAATTGCTCAGTTTCCTGAAGTGATAAAGGTATAGTTGTTTTTACTCACTCTTCCAGCTCTCAGGCAAATAGAAACTGCAGACATATATAGGGTTTGGTCAAAGATCAAAGCGTAGTGGCTCAAAATTATTCTTTCCTACTTATAATCAGCAAGTCATTCTAGGCAGAATTCCTCTCTATTCCATAGCTTTATGGTGATGATTAACTAAAATAAAAACATGGAACTAAGCACATAGTAAATGTATAATAAATATTATTATCATATATTATACTCTTATTATAGTCTACTTGTTAATAAGAATAAGAACATTGGATTTCAATCATGACTTGAACTCTACTTCCTGTGAATGATAACAAGCCACTTAACCTCTATTTGGCCGCCCTGAAACACTTTACTAGCTCTCCCTGACAGCACAATGAGGTCCAAATTCCTATGCATAGTACATAAGGCTCTTGACAATATGAGTCTTGAGTTTCCATTCTCATACCACACTGACATACCATCAAAAACCCATCAAGCACTTTAAATTGTAAATCTCATGCTGCTTCATATTGTGGCACTTCATATGCCATTCTTCACTTAAAATGCCTTTTCACCACTCCTTTTCAAAATAATTCTTAGTCATTAAGACTCACTTAAAGTACTCTGAAATTCTCTCAGAATCCTCTATTCAGTTACTACTTGTAATATGCTCACATATTGTTCCAATATATATTTATATTTTAGTACCTATGTTGCTCTGGGCTTATACATTTACTATTCAGATCCTTACTACAGTTAAGGTTTTCACTAAAAGGCAGAAGTTTTATCTTGCTCTCTCTGTAATCTCAGCAACTGATGCTGCTTTTAGCCCAAAATCAGTCCCCAAACACTGGTAGAAAAAGAAGTAAATGAACAAAATGCATTAATTCCAGGCCTCAGAACTCTCATTTGTAAAATTAAAAAGTTATGGTTAATGATCATCTATGTAAGCTCTATGATGTTATTATTCATAAATAATTTTATTTATAAAAAACAAAAGGGAGGATAGAATGAGGGAACACATCCTTGCCATGGAGTCCTGAGGGAAAACGAGGGTGGGCTCTCTGTCTCAGAAGCATCTTAGGGTGCTAATTCATACAAGGATTTATTAAGCAACAGCTGTGTGCTTCCTTCTCTGAAATCAATGGCATGTCATCAATACATGTGTTCTCTTTACCCTTGGTTTACCAATATTTGTTTACCCAGCTTACTTCTGCTTCTGTTCCATAAGCTCCTTGAGCACAGGGCCTATTCTCTTATTGATTATATTCCCCACAGCAGCTGGAACCTAGTAGGTGTTCAATAATGACTGTTGAATGTATGGATTCAAGATACAGGGCAGGAGCCTGAAGAAAGATGCAAAGTGTTGGATATTCAGTGAGGCCCCTGGCCACCCACTGGACGGATATTCAGAGGATCCATGTTCTCTCCATCATGTGTCCTGGGGCTGAAGATAGGTTGAAGGGGCCCAGAGGAAAAGAAGCCAATGGATGTTGAGATGTGGGATTTGGCTGTCACAGTGTAAAAGGAAATGTCCCCAGTCTTGTAGTTCAGGAAGATGCCCACATGCCTGGGGGGCTCCCTCATCCGGGTGGAGGGAAAGTTGGACGCCTGGCACTCATTTTACTTCATCATCATTTCTACCCAATAACTATTCTCTGGTGAGAGAGCCATATTCTCCTTGCTGCTCGTGGCTGCCTTGCAGACACCCAGGACCCACCCTGTCTTGTCTCCCACCTTCACTTCTCAGTAATGGCAGCTAGAGAGCAAACTGAGAGAGCCCAGGGCAATGATTCAGCTATAGAATCTTTCTGGACTAGCAGGTAGACGGTCCCACTTTTTTTCCAAGTCTCACACTCTTCAAGTCATCAGAGAAGATGAAAGATGAGGTTGGGGTGGGCAGCTTCTGCTTCCAGAATCACATTAACTGCAGAGAGAATTAGAATTCCTAGCTTGAGGTCCATGGGCAACATCCCCACAGGGTTCTCCCCACATCCAAGAAACGTGGACAGGGTCATTCTGGAATGCACCGGGGGACAGCACAGGGACCCAGCAGGCCAAGTCTACTTGCCTCAGGGTGCCTGACCACCAGTCACTTCTGGAACTACAGAGAAAAGGAGATGGGAAAAATCCTGAGCATTTCCATTCAGAGGGCTAAATCTACCCGGGTCCCCACAACAAGGAAAGACAGTGACTCCCTCTCCCTGCTCAGGACTCGGCTTCCTCTGCTTGGATATAACCCCATTCCTCTCTGGTACCCAGGCCTGCCTTGGATACTCTGTACTCTGGTGAGTTGACAGTCAGTGACCCTGGCACAGAGCCTGTGAGCACTTGTCATGACTTTGCTCCCACCTTTGTTACAGGTGTTTTCTCTTTTCTAAATAATTCCCAGAAATCAACAGCACAAGGGAAAATGGCCGTAATCCCTGGCCAACACATACTACCACCACCGGACTCACCGTTGAACATTTCCATTTCTGAACGCAGGGTTTCTAAAAGGAGAAGGAGTTTGAGTTAGGTTCCCAGATAGGGACAGGTGTGGGAGGGGCTGAAGGCAGAGTCAGAAAGGCTGTGGGGGGTGGAGAAGGGACACCAGGGGGCCCCAGGCTACGTGGCTCTCAGGGAGGAGGTGAGCAGGCGCCTCCCATCTTCCCACAAGCCCACCTACCCAAGAAGTGCCTCATGCGCTTCTCCACAAACTCTGATTTCTGGTAGAGCAGGTGGATCTTTTCTTTCACCTCTGGAGGGGTGGCCCACAGCTCAGGGACAGTCACCTTCTTGGCCCTAGAGACAAAAGATTGTTGGCCAAAGAGAACTGGAGTGTGGGGGTAGCCCAGGGTCTCATGAGCTGGAAGGGAGGTGCAGCCTCCACAGGGCACACCCAGTCCAGCCTTGGCTTCTCAAAGAAGGTTCTCCCTGGGCTTCAAGTTCTAAACACTGGTCCTCAACTCTGGCCATGGATTGGCATCACCTGGGGGAGTTTTAAAAACCACTGGTATCAAAATCACAGTGAGTTTTGATAATGGCCATAAAGTGGTACTGATGTTGAAATGCTCAGCCCAGAATTACTTATGTCAAATTAATTACACTTCCCTGAGTCTTTTTCTTTCTATTGAAATAAAAATGATATTAAGTGAGAAAAATAAACACAATGAGATACCACTTCACAGCCATTAGGATGGCTACTATTTAAAAAAAATAAAAAATAACAAGTGTTAGCAAGGATATGGAGAAATTGGAACCCTTGAGCATTGCTGGTGGGAATGTAAAATGGTGCAGACACCACGGGAGATAGTACTCTAGTTCCTCAAAAACCTAAACATAGAATTACTGTATGATACAGCAATTCCACTTCTGGGGATATACCCAAAAGAAGTGAAAGCAGGACTCAAACAAATATAGGTATGCCGATATTCATAGCAGCATCATTCACAGTAGCCAAAAGGTAGAAGCAACCTAGTATCCACTGATGGATGAATAGATAAACAAAATGTATATACACATGATGGAATATTATTCAGCCTTAAAAAGGAATGGAATTCTGGCACATTCTACAACATGAATGAACCTTGAAGACATTATGCTCAGTGAGGTAGGTCAGACACAAAAACACAAATATTGTATGATTCCACTTATATGATGTAGTTAGAGTAGTCAGATTCATATAGACAGAGAGTAGAATGGTCGTTGCCAAGGGTTGGGGGAGGGGAGATTGGGGAGTTGTTTAATGGTATGGAGTTTCCATTTGGGAAGATGAGAAAATTCTGGGGATGGATCATGGTGATGGTTGCACAACAATGCAAATGTACTTAAAGCCACTGAACTGTACTTTTTTTTTTTTTTCTTTTTTGTGGTATGTGGGCCTCTCACTGTTGTGGCCTCTTCCGTTGCGGAGCACAGGCTCTGGACGCGCAGGCTCAGCGGCCATGGCTCACGGGCCTAGCCGCTCTGCGGCATGTGGGATCTTCCTGTTCCGGGGCACGAACCCGTGTCCCCTGCATCGGCAGGCGGACTCTCAACCACTGTGCCACCAGGGAAGCCCTGAACTGTACATTTTTAAATGGTAAATTTTGTTATGTATATTTTACCACCAAAAAAATACTTTAAAAAATTGATGCCTGGGTTGTGCTCCTGAAGATCCAGGTTTAATTTGTCTGCGGGGACCTGGATGTCAGGATTTTGTAAAGCTCCCCCAGGCGATTGGAAGGTCCAGCCTCTTCCCCTCCCCTCCCCTCCCCTCCCCTCCCCTCCCCTCCTCTTCCCTCCCTTCCGCTGCTTGCTGGGCTTAGCAGATCCACTCCTGGAAAGTGCTTCCCTCACTGTGGCCACAAGCAGTCCTGCAGGAACAGTTTTCATAAGGCGAATTGCATGGGACACAGTCTGTTAGGGGGGGTTTCTTACGAAGCCACCACCACACAACAGGCCATGTTCATTTGGTCCAGTCTTTGACCCCATGCTCCCCCTCCTGATTGTGCTCCCATTCTTGCTACACAAGTCCAGAAAGGCCTTCACCTTCGGAAGCTGCAGGAGATGGGAGGACCCAGGGAGGAGCCACAGGCCCCGGGTTGGGATCATCTCCCTCCTAGGTCTGCCTCCCCAAATGCTTCCTGCAGTACACCCAAGGGATCATCAGGGGACCTCTTGGTACCTGTGCAGGGTGACTCTGACGTCCTAGGAGAGAAAAGAGGGAAGTTCTCTATTACCATTCTCATAGGGGCTGTGCTGACTACTTGGCCTCTCCTCCTGGGCTCCCAGCCCCACAGTGTCAGCAAAAATGGGGCACCTCTCCCCAGTTCTAATTCTAATCTGCTGAGGTGGCACCCTGGCTGGGGCCTCCACATAACTGTACCCAAACTCTGCTGGTCTCTTCTGGGAGATGTCACAGGATCCCCTAGATACTGGGCCATCCTGGGCTCCTGAGAATTCATTGAAGGGGCCTGGGCATTGTGGGTCACCAAGACCAAGTCCCGCCCCTGGCCCTAAGGGCCTTACCCACTGGCTTGGGCAGAGCTGATGGCAGTGCTGGGAGCCCATGTCACCCTACTGCACACAGTGGATGGGGGAAGGCCAGGCCCAGCCACACTTACCTTCATAAGCTCCCATTCTGGCTGGCACTGCTTGGCCTCCAGCTCCCCAATCAGCTTGTCGAGAAGGGCGATGTCCCCTGTCACCCGGGTGCCATATGTCTCCCTGACTTGGCCAATGGTCTGGCCCAGCTCCTCCAGACAGGCCACAAAGAGCTGCTCTTGCTGCTCTAAAAACTGGCATAACTGCTCCAACTGGTACTGGATTCTCTGCTTCTGGGTTTCAGCTTGTTTCTGGGGAACAGAAGTCAGGGAGGTGTAGGGGCGTATGTGGTGAGGTAGACGTGTGTGCCCAGGGAACCCGCAGAAGCCCACCTCCTGGAGGTGGGTAAGAGCAGGCTTCCTCAGCCTCTTGGAGGCCTGAATTCCAGAGTAGGAGGCAAAATGGGCTGGAACCTTCCAGAAAAGGTTGGCTTTTGGAAAATGCCCTAAAACCTGGTAAAATGGATTGAATTGTGTCCCCTTCAAAATGTATGTGTTATAAGTCCTAACCCCAGTACCTGAGAATATGATCTTATTTGGAAATAGGGTCATTGAGGATGCAATTAGTTAAGATGAGGTCGTGCTGGAGTGGGGTGGGCCACTGGAGTGGGGAAATTTGGACACAGATACACACACATGGAGAATGCCATGTAAAGAGACACAGGGGGAAGGAGACACCTAAAAGCTAAGGAGAGAGGCCTTGGAGTAGCCTTCCCTCGCGGCCCTCAGAAGGAAGCATTTCTGCCAACACCTTGCCTCCAGAACTGTGGGAGGCACACATTTCTGTGGTTTATGCTGCCCAGTTTATGGTACTTTGCAAGGGCAGCCCCAGAACACTAAGATAACTGGTGTCACCTTCTTCCTTCCTTGAAAAGCAGCGTGAGGATTGCATATGTCTGGAGCCATAAACAGACAAGGTCAGGACCACAAAGTCTCCAGGAGGGAGAGTTCTCTCCACTCCCCGACAGTCTCAGACTGCCCTGAAAGGGGTCAGTCAGTCCATCTATTTGAATGCAAGTGAACTTGACTTCCAATATTCTTGCACACTGGCCAACCATGACCTCTTCTGCCGTCCTCTTTCTCATCATCACTAAAAAGCTTCTGTGGACATGTGAAGTGGCTCTAGGGCATCTTTCCTTCCTCCAAGGAGGGAGAGGGCCCTTCAGATCTACTAGGACTGGACAGAAGAAATCTCATTTTTGGCTCAAAAGGACAGGATTAAGTCTTTAGTTCTTTTGAACCAAAAAAGTTTCTTCACCTTTTGTCGTTGTTATTTTTAATATGGGCACATTCATTTATTAGCTAAACTGATACACACAATTAACAAAAAATACTAGTGGACAGAACTCTCGTGTAAATTCCAGAGAGCCCAGGGCCTCACAGGATGCTTCGTGGATGTTTGCCCGGCTCCTGTTCCTCCGCCCACCATAGTCCCTTAGTTGACACACCAGAGTGGTTCTGATGTTGCTTGGTATTTTCTTGTAATTAAGGAATAAGACTATAACTCGATGTGTGTGGAATCTCACTCCTTCCTCTGTGACATCAGCAACCCTGCTGAATCACGTCCTGGGTTTCGGGTGCAGGAGAGTGTTCTCTCAGTCTTTATAATGGAGCACTGCAGACATGCACCTGTGCATCTGGTCTGCACAAGTCACACTTTCTCCAACACTTTCTAAGTCTAGACAATCAACAAAACAATCAGCCAAGGCTGGGCTGTGGTATTTGCCATTTCTGTGGTGTTGATATTCCCACCGTGGCCAGTTTCAAGTTTCCAATGTGATGTTCCTAAACATAGAGTCTGGAACACTTCTTGTTGTTGTTGACGGCAGTAACGTGGACTTTTTTTTTTAAGAGGACAGGTCAGTTGTCTCATTCAATGGCCTATATTCTAAAATTCTATAATTTTTCTCATGATTAAATTCAGGAGAAACATTTGGGGCAAGAATACAGTAGACCTAATGCCATGCTCTTTCTAGCATACCCCACTGGGAGGCAAAGACTGTCCAGTTTGCCATCATCATTATAATCATACTAGGATTGATGCTTGGTTAAGGAAGCATCTACCAGATATCGCTACTGTAAGTATATATTATTTCCTTTATAATTCCTAAGTAATTTGGGGAGTGGTACTTTGAGAGTGTGTAAATATCCTGTTCTCTAACGATTTTCTCTAAAAATTTTAGTATCTGTTGCTGATCCCTGTTGGTGTCAATTGTATAGTGGAAATTTTCTAATTCAATTATTCTTCTATACTTGTTTTATCTGGGTTTCTGCTGTAAAGAAGAGCTTTCCCAACTCCTTCCCTATGATTAAAAAAATTTCTTTTAATTATTGTAAAAAGGAGGAGGAGAAGGCGAAGACCTGAAAACAGCATCTCCTTTCCACAGAGCCCGTGTCACTGTATCTTAAGGGAAGGCTGAACCCTCTTGTCTCCCTGGGTTTCCCTGATCAGCCCAGGCTCCTGCCTCACCCTCCTTGGGGGGGCACCCCTGACCTCTGCTCCATCCACAAGTTCCAAGCCACCTGGGATTATAGGAAAGGGTTTTCATTTTACTACAACTCAAGAGCTTCCCAAAAGTCAGACACCTGGATCAATGCCACCCTCCTCCCATTCTGCCCTTTGTTATCTTTGCCTGTTTCCCACTGCAGTGTGGTGGGTCCCTGAAGAAGTTTGGAACTCAGAGTGGGAGACAGGATCCAACCAACAGAAATGCACCAGATAAATCAAGCCTCTGGGGGTAGTCTCCTTCACATGCAGGGAAAACAGGAGCAACCTAACGCATCCGAGTCTGGACAACAGCTTAACAGGAAGGCCACTAAGTTGTACTTACTGAGATCTGTGACGTTTCTTTAAAACCACAGTTTTAAAGAAAATGTCTACTTTAAGCATTTGAATTTTAAAAATCAACATGGTTTTTGTATCAAAAAAAAAAGTACAATAGACCACAACAACAATTATAAAAACAATACAGAGGAGTATTTAAAGTTGAATAGTCTCTCCTCCCCTTTCCTCAATCCCATTCCTCAGCTACAGCCACTGGCATTCCTTTCTCTAAACCATTTTGTGGTGAGTCTAAGAAAGCATGACAGGGTCCTGGGAGATGCCACTTCTTGCTGGAGGTGGTTTCCCTCCCCAGGGACAAGCTCATCCTTTGACACCTGTTATTCCCTGCCCCCCAAGAGCAGGTGATTCTAACTATGTGATCGGCTCTGCTTCCCTGTGAACCAATACAGGACATCAGGGACCCCTGCTCACTCTCGGTTCCCTCCCTCCTGCAGGGGTGAATCCAGGCAAAGACTGGCCACAGACCACCCAAGCCTTACCAGGAAGTTTGCTGTCTTCTTATCCCGCTGAGATCTCTGCTCCTCTCCAGATTTTCTCAACTCCTTCAGATGCTCCAGCTGCTTCTGAATTTGTTTCTGGAAAAAAAGAGCACTTGTCAAAGCTTGAACTTGGCTCCTGCCATCTTGGTGCCAACTCTAGATGGGAAAACTTGCTTCAGGGAATAAAGCTGAAGGTGAGGAAGCCAAGAGCACAGGGAGAGGTACCCAGGAAAGAGGAAGAATGAATCCATCACACCAAAGGAAGCAGAGCCAAGAGGCAGTGAGAAAGATTTCTAATGACCTCTTGTGAGCACCTGGGTTCAGCCATACCTAAAGCTAGATTCCCATAGCTACATGAACCAATAAATCCCTCTTTGCTGGCTTACTTTGTATTGTGTTTGCCATTTACAGCCCAAAGATGCTGGCTAATGCACCAACTCCCAGGGTTTTGGGGGAAATGAAGCAAGCCCCGATGTGTTCAAGTGCCCATCAGAGAAGGACCCCAATGCAGGAAGCCCTACCTTGTATTCCAGGGCGGCCTCCTCGATGGGGCGAACCCGGTGGCCTCGGTGCTCCTGACTCAGCCTGCAGATGAGGCAGATGGGTTCCCCGTGGTCCTCGCAGAAGAGCAGCTGGACCTGCTTCATGTGACGCTCACACTGTGGCAGGGACTTGGGGCTCAGGCTGGCCATCTGCAGGCCCTCCTGGCACTCGAGGCTTCCATGGCTCTTCCCCGGGAGCAAGTCCTGGCACCGAGGGCAGCTGGATGAGTAGCCACGTGAGACCTCAGGATCCCTAGAAGCAACGGAGCAGCTGCAGGAAACATGCACGCAGCTGCCACCAACCGGGTCTCCTTCCTGGGCACAGCAAAGGCGACATACAGCCTTGTCCTGCAGTCTCCCTGGGGACATAGCAGTGGAAAAATCTCATGAGTGACAAACCCAAGATGTTACCAAGGAATGCTGCAAATCACAGCGAGAGTCCGTTCCTGGGATACGTACATTCTCGGTTAGACTGAGGCCCCTCCCTAGCTTGTCCTCCCCCGACTTCCCTCCAGTGAAGTAGCAAAGGAGCCACTAGGACTGAAGGCTAAGGGATAGATTTCATACCAGTCCTGAGGATTGGAATTCTTGGGCATTTATCCTAAAGAAAGGCCTTTTGCTACAAATTCTATGCCTTCCTCCTGCACGCACACTGATAACAGGTGATATAAAGACAGTAAGACATTCCCACTGGTGTTTGCCACTTAACCACCACCTAGACTGCTCATAACTTGAGTAGAGCTCCCAAGGGATGGTGACTCGCTCATGGCCAGACCCCCAGCCCCTAGCAGAATCCCTGGCATGTGGTGAGCATTTGGGATGTGCGTGTTGAATGAAGGAATGAATGGGCCACTGCTCACATCCAGATTCAGGAAGCATGAAGTGAAAGTAAAGAAGGGGACTTTACAGGCTGAAGGGTATAGCCCACTATGATGACCTACAGCTATGACCAGCTCTGCCCCAAGACCATAGCACAGCTTCATAAAGCAGAAATGACAGGAGATACAGGAGGAATAGAAACGCACTCAAGCCACGAGTCCCCTCCTGCCTCCTCCTCTTGCAGGGTCCCAGGAATTCATATCACATCTGCAAGTGAGACTGCGAGCTCCCCAGTGACCATTTTCCCCTCCTTCCCTTGTGATAGTATTGATTGCTGTCCATATGGCTGCTCCCCGCCACCACCCAAAAAAAACTACATTTCTTAGCCTCCCTTGCAGTTAGATGTGGTCATGTGACTCCAGACACACCTCACTTCATTGCACTTCACTTTATTGCCCTTAACAGACTCTTTCATTTTTAAGAAAATGAAGGTTTGTGGCAACGCTGTGTTGCCAGATGATGGTGAACATTCTTTAGCAATAAAGTTTTTTTTTTGCAATAAAGTGTATTTAAATTAAGGTAGGTACATTTTTCTTTTTAGACATAGTGCTATTGCACACTTAATATAGATGATAGTATAGTATAAACATATGCACCAGGAAACCAGAAAATTCATGTGACTTGCTTTACTGCAATATTCTCTTTATTGCAGTGGTCTGGAACCAAACCCACGACGTGCCTGTACATTCTGGCTAAGAGGAAGTAAATGGAGGCATCACGAGCAGCATCTAGAAACTTCCGAAAACCTTCCCTAAGTGATACTATTCTCCTTTGTCCCTCCATCCTGCTGCCTGGAATGAGGATGCCACCATCTGAGAACACAACCTTGAGAGCAAACTCCATAGAGCAGAAAAGCAGCAGGAGCTTGGGTTCCTGACCACGGTGTACCACATTTGTCCTGGACCACCTGTGTGTCATTTATGTGAAAGAGGAACAAACGTCTATCTTGTTTCAGTTATGTTATTTTGGCATTTCTGTCATTCACAACCCATCACCATCCTAATTTCCGCCTCTTTAGTAAAAGAGACCTAGGACTTTAGCCAACAGTTCCCTCCCTGCCCAGACAGAGGCAAATAGCAGAATCGCAGCCCCATGACATACTGCCATGAGGTATTGTGAGAAGGTGATATTTGTACCCAGTCTTTCTCAGATGTTCAACCTGGGGTCCATGAAGCCCTTGGGAATTCTAAAGAAGGACTTCTTTAGAGTGTCTAAGAACTAACTAACTGAAATGTATGCAACATTTTTATGAAAATGTGCAGATATGCATTTTTCAGGATTCAGAGCCTACATCAGATTCTCAAAGTGTGGAGGACCTCAAGGGGGACCCAGAGGTCCAGTGAAATGAATACAGTGGGGATAAAAGCAGGTTTGCAGGGGGAAACCTGCAAAGGTCATCATTCCTAAGGATGCCAGGTCTTCTGGATTCTGAGGTCCTTTCTTACCTGAAGATGGAGGGACTTCTGGATTTGAAGGATCATGGAGCACACCACCTACCACCTCCTCCAAGGCCTTAGAGGTCTTTGGAGCCTCAGTTCCACTCTTCTCTGCAGGTACTGTGGACTCTGGATGCTCCCAGATCTTCTTTCCAGCTAACGATACACTGCAAAGTGTATTCCTGAGTGCTACCCCCTCCAGAGTCATGGCGTGTTCTGGATTCCTGGATCCTTTCTCTGCAGCCACAGTAGCCCCTGTGTTCAGAGTGGCTGCTGAGCCTGGATTCTCACTTCTCATTTTCTCTTGAAGCAGAAGAGCTTCTGGGTTGAGAGGTTCTGTCTCTCCTGAAGAAATGGTAAATTCAAGACTTTTGGGTCGCTTCTTTCCTGAAGGTAAATATGCTTCAGATATCTTAAATTCTCTCCTTCCCAGGGACCCAGCAAACGACCCACTGGAGAGTCCTTGGAGCCTTCCTGCAGAGCTGGCGTTCCTGCGCAGCCTGACCCCCTCATTGCTCCCCTTCTCCCCCTGTGGCTTGCTGGGAAAGGGGCTTCTCTTGGAAGACAGAGTTGTGTTCCTGGCCCCTGGCTTGCCCTGCACATCCGGGCGCTCAGAGCCTTTCTGATCTCTCTGTTTGCCCAGAGGCTTCTTCTGGAGCCCCCTTCCAGCCTCGGGCTGGATGGATGGTGGGCAGCCAGCCCCATCACCACTTTGTCGCTGCTTGTCACCTTCCAGGCCATCTGGTATCTTCAGACTCTTGGGCTTAATCTCCCCAGAGGAACCAGACATTGCTGAACTGTCTGTGTCACTTTCTTTTACCTGACACCCTGAAAAGACAATGAGATGGAAAGGCATGAAAATGTCCAGTGCTCAGGTTCAAGGTTTGGGGGAAGGGAGAGAAGACAGAATCCCTTTGGAAATTAGAGAAGCTCAGGACATTCTAGACAACAGCAGTCAATTACCATTAAATAAGAACATACTAATTATCTGCTATCTTATTTCTGAAATAGTGCTTTTCAAACTTTTTAGGCAGGAGAACTTGTTTCCAATATAAAGTCTTACATAGAATTCTTAATATATAAGTGAAAACCCTAATTTATGGGTATACATTTGTGTGCGATTTACAGATCTACAAAACTCACTTATCAGTCAATAAAGATCAGCACAAAAAATTGAAATCGGGGTCATGAAGGACAGTGAAAACTTCAGAAACTAATTTATTTTGGGTTTTTTTTCCCCCTTTGGTTTCATGAAGTGAAGAAAATCCTAACTCACACAGATAAGTATAAATGGTAATTTTTTTTTTTTTTTTTTTTTTGCGGTACGCGGGCCTCTCACTGTTGTGGCCTCTACCGTTGAGAAGCACAGGCTCCAGACGCGCAGGCTCAACGGCCATGGCTCACGGTCCCAGCCGCTCCGCGGCATATGGGATCTTCCCGGACCGGGGCACGAACCTGTGTCCCCTGCATCGGCAGGCAGACTCTCAACCACTGCGCCACCAGGGAAGCCCAATGGTAATTTTTTTTAAAAGACAGCTTGCCTGGAAATTTCAGAACAATGTTTAATTAAACAGAAATGACAGGAAGGGCTGAATTCCAGGGTCTCCATAAAAAGGAGTTCAAGCATGAACTGTCACACTGATGGCCTCCAATATTTTAAAATTTGGTTAATCACTCATTTTAATATAAATTTGTTAGTTTTGTAAGTTAGTTAATAAAATTTGAATCAAGTATTTGCTAACATTCTAAAGAATCCCTGAAATGTCTTCCTGGGATACAATTTGAAAACCACTACTTTAATAAAGAAATGAAAATAACCTATAATTAGCACCTTAATTTTTGGTTTGAAAAGCCCTTATTAAAATTAAAGTTGCTTAAAACACTTTGCTATTGGCTTTCTAGGAAAAATATGTTATGAAAACTGGTTCAAGAACTGGTAAGAAACCCTGAAGAGATGAATAACCAGATTTTAAAATACAAAAAATTAATTTTAAAATTCTACTCATCAAATTACACCAGACTCAGATTACAGTTTAGCTTTATCACTCTTTCAAAGAGCAGAGAATTTTTATGTTATGTAAACTCTTCTACCTCATAGAAGCACATGGAAAGCATTCCTAATGTGTTCTTAAAGTCTAGAAATAGAAGAAAATTTCAAACATCGAAAAATAGTTTTTTAAACTGATCACAGATTAGCCCCTCCACCCCAAATGTCCAAAAAAAAGTCTTTAAAAGCAGAAATCAAATAGGCCACAGTCTTTGATCACAATGTAATAAAATCAGAAAGTTACGGCAAAAGAGTAGCAGAAGAAGGATAAGGAAGGAAAAAAGGAAAGAAAGATAAGATAAAAGGAAGGAAGAGGGGCTTCCCTGGTGGCGCAGTGGTTGAGAGTCCGCCTGCCAATGCAGGGGACATGGGTTCGTGCCCCGGTCTGGGAGGATCCCAGATGCCACGGAGCGGCTGGGCCCGTGAGCCATGGCCGCTGAGCCTGCGCGTCCGGAGCCTGTGCTCTGCAACGGGAGAGGCCACAACAGTGAGAGGCCTGTGTACCGCAAAAAAAAATAAGGAAGAAAGGAAAAGGGGGAGAGAGAAGGAAGGAGAGAAAGAAAGACAAAGAGGAAAGGAAGGAAGGAAAAGAAAAGGAAGGAGAAAGTCCTTTTAGAATTTTAAAATATCTTTGTAACGTGTTAGAGAAGAACTCAAAACTGAAATGAAGTGGATAACAGTGAGATTACCCATCAACCCTCTTGACAGGAGTGGTTAGTTTCTTGCTCACCCAAAGATACTCATCTGTAGGTAAGTGTTAATGACAAATGAAGTGAGGAATTCTCTACCAACAGACATCCAGCTCCTGCCTTTCCTGATTCTGCCCCATAGTCAGAACCTCATGCTTCTGGGTTTTTTAAAAAAAGCCATTGAGAGCCTTAGCTTTACTCCAGCTTCCAAGACCAGAGAGGGGGAAAGGACTTGCTTGGCTAAAGTCACCAGGGTTGTTGCAGACCTCGGACTCCTAACCCCCAAGTCAGGACGCACTGGCCGAACTGGTCCCTCTTGTACCTTCCACCCCACTCTGCAAACAGCCAGCAGTCGCAGTGGGGGAGGAGGGCGCATGGGGCCGCTTACCTGAGCCGATTGCACTGTTGAGATCCTCTGCCAGAAGGTGCTGGTTGATGGCCCTCAGGACCTGCAGGGTCAGCCGCACGGCGTCCTCCTCCCCATAGTGGGTGACCAGCAGAGTGGCCAGCTTCACTGGCTTGGCTGTCTGGAGTTGGCCCCGGGGAATCCGGGAGTGCTCCTTCTCCAGGCTGGTGTTCTGCAGCTTGAACTTGAACTTCTCAAAGTCATAGGGCACCAGCTCTTCCAGGGAGTACAGCAGATGGTCACTACGGGTCTTGGCCATGGCGTTGACCAGGAGAGGCTGGAGGCAACTGTCTGGCTTCTGAGGGGAGAAGCAGCTGTCTGTCCTGGAGCCCAGAGGGAGACTAAGAAGCAGCTTGTGAAATAACGGAAAAGGCACAGGAAATGCTCTGTGTTTTGGTGGGAACTGAGAGTAAGGCTGTGAGTATGTCATTGTTGGTTTGTGTTCTCTTTCTTACAGATTCAGAGGCTTTTCCAGCTGGGAGGACTCAATGCCTTGTCAGACACCTGGTCGTCAGCACCCAGCTCTCACTGACTTGGGCTGGACTGCATAGTGGTGGATGAGTCTTTGAGGAAGGGTCTGGGATTGGATTCCAGATTCTGGATCTTTGGGCAGGCAGTCAGATGCTTCCCTCTCCCCTCCCAGGATACGGGGGTGGGAGTGGGTGGAACAGAGCCCCTGGTCCCATGCTGGAGAGAACCATGATGAGGGTCAGCCCCTCTGGCCAACTGCTCTCCTCCAGACTCTTGGGGTTTTATTGACCCTCTGGAGCCAATGACAGGGGGATGGGGAGCAGCAAATACAGCCCTGCAAGCTCTGCCCCTCCCTGCCCAAGAAGGCAGGTGAGGCCAGAGGGGCACCACCAGGAGACAAGCCCTGGGGTTGCCCCTGTTGATGTAGTTCCAGTTGTCTGGTTCTTCCAGCAACACGAAGGCCTCGAAACACGACGCCTGGGACCACCATCCTGATTTATTTGTCCCAGTGCTAACTCTGCCGTGGCTTCCTGGGAGCAGACTCCGGAGGGAGGGTGTCATGCATGCACGTGTACTGAACACATGTTCTGGACCAGGATGCTGGAGAAACAAGGGTGAAAAAGGCATAGTCGTTCTTAGGGCTTGCAGCCCAGTATGGGGCCCCAGCAGTGGCTCCAAAGCTAATGGAGTTTGTATGGGGGGAGCTGACTGCTTCCTCCGTTAACGGCTGTGTCTTTCTGCTACATTGATTTTTATCCTCAACTTTTTGGTTCAAAAAATTTCAGGGCTTCCCTGGTGGCACAGTGGTTGGGAGTCCGCCTGCCGAGGCAGGGGACGTGGGTTCGTGCCCCGGTCCGGGAGGATCCCACATACTGCGGAGCAGCTGGGCCCGTGAGCCATGGCCACTGGGCCTGCGTGTCCGGAGCCTGTGCCCTGCAGTGGGAGGGGCCGCGACAGTGAGAGGCCCGCGTACCGAAAAAAAAAAAATTTCAAATTCACAGAAAATTTGAGAGCATAGTACAATGAACACTTATATACCCTTTACCTAGGTTCAGCAACCATTTACATTTCATGTTTGGTGATTCTCTCTCTCTCACACATGCACACACTTTTTTGTTTTTTTGAAGCATTTCGTAATAAATTGAAAACATATCAGATATCACTTCAAATACCCTAGCTATCCTAAATACTAAGAATGAGGATACAAGGATATTATTTTATTATTTATTTATTTAAATTTTATTTATTTATTTTTGGCTGCCCCCACTCAGCTTGTCAGATCTTAATTTCCCGACCAGGAATTGAACCCAGGCCCTCTGCAGTGAAAGCGCCGAGTCCTAACCACTGGACCGCCAGGGAATTCCCAAGGATATTATTTTAAATAATCACAGTAGTATTATCACACTCAGGAAATTTAATGTTGTTACAATACTACAAGCTTTCCATAATCAAATTCCTCAATTGTCCTGATAATATCTTTGATAGCTTTTTTTTTGTCCCAATCCAGGATCCAATCAGAGATCCTGCATTGCCTTTAGTTGCCATATCTCTGTAGTCTCCTTTTATCTAGAACACTTTCACATTCCCCTCACCTTTTAAAATTCTTTCAAGACATTAATGTTTTTGAGGGCTTCCCTGGTGGCGTAGTGGTTAAGAATCCTCCTGCCAATGCAGGGGACACGGGTTCGAGCCCTGGCCCGGGAAAATCCCACATGCTGTGGAGCAACTAAGCCCGTGCGCCACAACTACTGAAGCCCGGGCGCCTAGAGCCCCGTACTCCGCAGCAAGGGAAGCCCACGCACCTCGACGAAGAGTAGCCCCCTGCTCGCTGCAACTAGAGAAAGCATGCGTGCAGCAACAAAGACACAACGCAGCCAAAAATAAATAAATAAATATAAAAAATAAAGTGGGGACAGTGGGTGAGGTCTCAGACCTGGAGGCTTGCTTCGTCAAGCCCTCTTATTAAAAAAAAAAAAAATTAATGTTTTTGAACAGTCCATTCCAAGCACAGTGTCTCTCAATGTAGATTCGTGTGATTGTCTCCTCATTAGACTGAGGGTCCATCCACGCCTCCTTGAGATCTCTCCATTGTAAAAGGCCATTTTTTTCTTTGTAATTAATATGGAACCTCGGTGTGTGGAAAGGTCTCGCTCCCTCACAATCTTTCACCCCATGGTGTTAGCCTTCATTGATGATCCTTTCCTAAATCAGTTGCTAGAGTGGTGGTTGCAAAATGGTGGTATTTCTATCACTTAGTTGGCATCATTTGCACATCCTGGATTAAACTTTGTGTGTTTCTCATGAAATGTTTGGCTTACTGATGTTTTGTTGGTAATACAATTACCCTTCAACGATGCTTACTCTGTGCTTTTTTTTTTTTTAAACTCTGTGCTTTATATCCATTATTCCCTAAAATCTCTGCAGTATCCCTTCAGTGCAGGATTCATCATCTCCATTTACAGCCGGGATTAGTGGCTTAGATACTTGCCCAGAGCCAGGGTTCAAACTCACTCTATTAACCACTTTGCAGTATTGTCTCCCTGCATGATGGTACATTGTTATTTTACTATTCACCACTAACTGTAGATGTCACCTTTTCAGCGACCAACGAGGCTCAAAATGGGCCATGCTGACCATTCCCACAGGTCAGTGACAGCATTCTGTTGCCTGGCTGAACAAACAGCCCCTCTGTATGACCAACCTGGGATCACGGCTTCCGATTGGTCCATGGGCTTTATATCTTACAGAGTATTAAGTGTTTGGGGTTTAACAGCTGACAGCATCCAGTTTTCTGGATTGTGGTGAGAAAATAATACCCAAACCCAACAACTTCCCTAAAAAATGAATGAACCCAAATGCACTTTTATGGTGCAAATGTCAGATGTGTGAAATTCTCAGGTTGGGCCAGAAGGGTTTTAACTGGGGTTTCTCTGGGACCAGGACCTGTACAAGATTCCGGAAGGCAGTCTCCCACTGCTGAGACAGAAATGATGAAATCGTGCAATGCCACAAAGCATCCTTCGTGTTCCTGGGATCTCTGACACCATCTTGTCTAGCCAGGAAACTCCTCTAAGCTAAGACTAAGGCAGCTACGACAGAATCGGGTAGGAAGTGGGGCTTTCCAGTCTACAGCAGGATATTTTGCAATTTCAGTGACACTTTTTGCAACAGGGGCAATTCTGAAGCAGGGACTTCTTGAAAGGCAGTGTTTTGTTGCCAATGAAGCCTTTCTAGGTCAAGAGAGGTTCACAGAGCTTCCATTTTTTGAGGTTCCAGTGATTTAAAGTGAAGAAATGTGAAAATAGGATTATAGTCCTTGGGATGCATTTTAAATGTTTGATTTAACAAGTAAAATGGATTGTTGATGAACTCTTCTTTCTTGTACCTCTGTGACTATACCTCTGTAACCTTCAAAGCAGCTTTCAGTCCTGTACCTCTGTGCCTTTATTTGGGGACATGACAAATCTAAAACCAGTGCAACTGCTGCAAAGGGTCCAACTTTTGCTCTCCTCCTAAGTGATGCACAGCTCAGACACCCGGATATTTTCTCCATTCCTGGTCATCAGGGGTATCACTTTCTACCACATTCATTTTTTTTTATCATTTTGGGATTTTAAAATCAATATGTATTTTATAATAAAAAAGATAGTTTTTAAAAAGTATTTTATAATTAGCTTAGCTTCAAAGCTGATTTCAGTCCTGTCCCCGCAACCACGATAAAGGAGGTTTACTGTATTTGAATATAATACATATCTCTAAGAGAATGGAAAGACCTGTTGAGAAGATCGTGGAAGAGTTCCTGTGTTAACCTGGAACTGAAAATAATGGATCCCATGGTGACCCAAACTCTCCCTCACCCACCAGTATATTGAATTTTAAGGGAGAAATCTGAGACTTTGAGAGGCTAACCATTCAAGTTCAAAGTGAATTTCCAGGCAATGAACTCCCTCTGAGAAACAAACTGTAACTGTGGTCTCTGAGGGTGAACCAAATTCAGGGACAACCTCCGACCTCCTGAGCAGAATGGGAAAGCAGGGAGAGGAAGCCAACTTCCCAAAGTAGGTTGCGGTAGGTGGCTTTGACCTGTCCCAGGTGATGCAGTAGTGGTGTCAGAATAGGTCTCCAATCGGCTTACCAAATGAGAGCTTTGTTTGCACTATGGTAACCTTAAGCAAGAGCGTTTATAAGTTATAAAGTGCAGTACACATTCTGATTGTTAAATCTAGATGGAGAGTAAGCGGGTGTTCATTTTACTCTTTAAATTTTCCTATGTATTTAAACTTTTTTTTTTTTTTTTTTTTTTTTGGCCTGTCCACATGGCATGCGGGATCTGGGATCTTAGTTTCCACGACCAGGGATGGAACCTGTACCCCCTGCAGTGGAAGTGGGGTCTTAACCATGGACCACCAGGTAAGTCCCAACATCTTACAATTTAAAAAATTGAAAAAAAAATTTTTTGTTCTACCAGTGTTTATATGGACCCTATTAGGAGGCTCGCCTTGAGCATACAGTCCCTGACAGCCAAAGGCAACTGCTTTCCCTTCCCCGCACCCTTTGAGGTTCGGTTTACATAATCCTGCCCCCACTCCCAACTCCCACCTCCCACCCCTGGCAGAGCTGACCCCTCTTGCCTGGTGCTCCGGTCACTCCTGTTCACCACCTTGCATTGAAACTGTTTATGAGTTTGGAAGCTGCCCGGAGTGGTGAGGAGATATGGGAATCCAAGATCTAGGACCTGTGTGCCCTGGGCAAATTACTCGACCGCTCTCAATTTGTTTTCCTGTCTGTCAAACGGGTCGTTTCTGGAATTCAATGAGATGATTGCAAGCGCGCCTGGCACCGTGGGAGAAGTGCCAGCTTCATTCTTTGGTGTCCAGCGCCTGGCACGTCGTGGGCGGTGTCTACAGAGGTGGACAGGAGATCCCTGCCCCGCACTGCCATCACCTCCAGGACCCCTTCTGCCCAAACCCCGCGCTTGGGGCAGGAGAGGTTTGTCTGCGGGAAGAACGGCCCCAGGATAAAGGGGAAGTGTCTGCGCAGGGCAATGACAGGCGGGCAGGCGCTGGGGTGGAGACCCGCCCGGCACACCATCCCTGCCGGGACCCCGTGGGGCCTGCCGGAGGGAGGGAAAAGTCCGAGATGCGCGACTCACCCCGGGGTCTGTACCCGCGGCGCCAGCGTTTGTG